GTATAATCACTAGTGACAAAATTTAAGATGAAGTTCGGACGTTGTAGTTAAAAGCCATCACTTATCGTATCAATTAAATCATATCATGAGGCAGTAATTCCCAAATCTATAGGATAAGAATCATATGATGTCAAAATGAGCTGAAATTTGGAATACTGACCACTAAATTCTGTTTCAATAATTTGAATATATCATGTTCTCTACTGAAACCTCTGATTTTCTTATCATGTTACATTTTAAATCTATACTAATAAAAACTAGAGAACAAGGAGTTAACAAATTCTCAAAACGTTCTGTAATTCCCAATGATTACCTAAACGGTGTTCATTCATTAAGAAAACTAATATGATTTTCAGATGGTGGAGAAGATTTGTAGCACAGGTAGATGATTTTGATGGAGTTTTGTTCCCTGAGCCAGATAGTTTGGTCGTGGAGCTTTCATCGTTCTTCTAACCGACATCATCAGCACAAAATTCAGATAGAAATGAAACAATCTTAAGCATACTATTTTTCTTCCACTTTTCTCAACTATTCTCCATCCTAATGAGCAGTTTATTGAGGGTCTATATCTTACACTTGTTGGTAGAACGCTTCACTTCTATCTGAATTTTATACTGATGATGTTGTTCAGAAGAACGATGAAAGTTCCACGACCAAACCATCTGGCTCAGAGAACAAAACTCTATCAAAATTAAGAAAGCTACCTTTATATATATATCTGACTTAGAATAATCATTTCATTTTGTTTCGATACACAATTTATAAATGTATTAACAAAATCAACATAAGTTTCTATGACAATGACTCTAAATAATCAATATAATATTTACTTGAATTTACTATTATTATGATCAGTTCTTTTTTTTGGAATAGTTTTCTATTGTTTAAATCAATAGAAACCAATTACTCTTGCTCTCTCTCTCTCTATCTTAAAATAAGGTCGATATGATTTTATTTATTTAAGATTGCTTCTTAAGAATGATGGTGTTGTTGTTTTGTTTTTTGTTTTTTTTCAATACGAGCATAAATAATTATTGACTATTTCAATAAATTTGGTAGAATTATTTGAACTACAATTTAGTTTCTATCTAAACTGTAATTATTTTCAATTCAGTAAGAATTTCAATTGATATTCAATTAAATATGTATAAATAACTTGAATAGTTTTGAGTTGATTAGATATACAATAAATAGTGCTTTATCTAGCACTAAGTATATATATATATATTTGTAACCAGTAAATATAGAGTTAAGCCTCCTTTGAATTTTACATAACTACAGTTTGATATGAATTTAACACGTTATGAACAGAAAACATGAAATTGATTGATTGAACAAGTAAACACCCAGCTAACATGTATGTTATATTCATCATTGATTGATCTCAGTTGGGTTATTTTTGAAGATCAGGGAATCTTGTGTAACTGTTTCGTTATAGCCTGTGACTTGTCAGTAGCAGCCAAACGCAACCCTACCAGGAACTGAATCCAGTAAGTTTCGTAGCTAACGATTCACCATTAGAACCATTGTGTTGGTGTCCAGTGACATACTTTCTACTCCAACAAATTTGCGATATACTTCAAGTATCATTTACCTATATTGATGGCAAATAAATCACTCCTTACATATTTATATTCTCCTAGTTTCATAACCAGAAAATCACAACTGGGTCACCGAATCAGAATTAAGTGATTAACATTATTACTCTGTAACAGTTGACCAAAGTCAGTTTTATTATAAACTTCTTGGTGTTACCATCGCAACAAATAATATTATTACCTTAAAAATCCTGATATATTATGAACCAGATGACGTGAAATTGCCATATAATTTTATCTGCAGTCGTTTGCTCCTTGTTTTTCTACAATACAACGATATTCACTATTATAAAGACTCATTCTCCATAGAAAACCTCTCTTGAAAGATAGATAGGTAGATATTATCAAGGTTTGGCTTGATGATTTCGAACAAATTGAGCATTGGGTAGATCGTTGTAAATAAGATGATATTTATTTGTAATGTCCCAATGAGTAAAAAAATTAAATTTTCCGACGTTTCGTAATTCAGCGCAAGCCACTTCTTCAGAGAATAAATAACCAAGTCAAAATTATTCCAAGTTTTAACAGTTCAAAAGAACAACGCAAAAATATTATATGCGATCAATAAAAAACAGCTCTGAACAAGTCATTGTCATGTCATTTCGGTCAAGATGATTTATAAGCAACATGTATGTAAATTTATGTGTACATACAAATTTTTGTTTATTTTCATTTATTCTCTCGAGAAGTGGCTTAAACTGAGTCACGAAACGTCAGAAAAATCTAATATGTAATATGTAAACAGATAATTTGTAATTGTAAGGTGGTGGAGCTGGTGATTAAATGATTATATTACATCTAAACCCCCTGCTGGTTATATTGAGTAACTTGGCAGTTAAAATAAATAGGTTCGTGAATTTGAAGACCATACATTTTAATCTTGTTACAAATTCACTTATAAGTTTAACAATCCATAATATTGATAATCAGAATCTAATGTTCTGGGTTTCCAACATTAGTAAATTCATGATATTAATATGTAGTTCACGTTTTCATGACTAACTTGTGTTCAGAAATGAGCAGTCTACAATGTAGAAACTAGAAGAAAACTACCATAAGTCAAAACCCAATGAAATTACTTAGATAAAATTACATTTACAAATTAAATTGGCATACAACTGAATCAAGCAAGCTTAAACACGTAACCTTCAGATTCCTCAAAAAAATATAATATCATTAATTTATTGTTTCGAATTTCACTCTCTTCCGTTGTGAACTTCAGTCACTCAATGATGTGGATTTGTTCTCATTCAACGCTGTCAACCGCATAATTGATAATCATCAATAAAATACAGTTTTTATAATTATTTAAATAAATATTGTATTTAGTAGTATTTCAGTTACCACTTTTGTTCTCAAATCCCTAATGCTGGCAAATAGACACCATCTATAAATTTTTATTCTAAATCCTTGATCCTGAAACAATCCTTAACCTAGTGGTACTACGCTTTATGAAAGAACTAATCAGAGTGCTTCTTGTATTTTTGAGTGAACTTCATTCGTCCATGTGGCTACAAGAAATTTCTATTTTGTAACTGATGTCCATTCGTGATGAAAATCGCAGCCCTAACCAAGAACTATTTTGGGACCCTTGGAAATTTGTTTGACCATTTAAAGGTTCGAGAATATGAACAATCTATGTCCATCAAGACGAGTTTATACATTTTTCAGAGTAACCTGTAGAGGACATTAACAGATTTGTTATGTCAAATCTCTTTGCACATGGCAATATTACTTTTTTACTTCCATAAACTTTACTTACAAAATTTGTTCTCTAATTGTCTAGAAAGTAATCGGGAATTCGTCGGGGTTTTTATAAGCTCGTTCCTACATTATACTTGTCTCACCAACTTGACATGATTACAGGATATAACAATAGCGTATTGACTAAATAAATATGAACCATACTGTAAATGTGACGGGTAATCATACTACCTGGCTGTTTAAATTGAAGTAGGAGGGAATTCGAACCTAGGACTTAGTGGCCCAAAGATTGATTCCTAAGAAATAGTCAGCCAAGGGTAATAGACCAGTCGCTACACTCCAAATCATCACAGCAAAAAAAGCAACATGATACGAAACAGCAGGTTAAATGATATCAAATGTGACGAGAAGCTAGACATAAAACATCAACACACTGTTAAAGTATCGGATGATATTGAAGTACTAACTTCAAACTCAAGATTTAGAAATCAGAAAATAAATGGGATAGGTCTTAGATTATTATAGCCAACTTCCCCAATCATAGACGACTATCATCGCGGAGATCCTATCTAAGAAGTCTATTCTAAACAACAAAGTTCAGTCGAGCAACCCATGACTTAATTGACTGGTGTATTCCATTTGTTTGACCGTACATAGTTTATTCCTCCGTAAATCAAGTAAACAGTAGTACAACGTGATACAACAAGAAATTCCAACAACCTACAAACGTAGAAGCAAGTGCGGATAGACACTATTGCGTCAGTCAGTCATATACATTTTACAACTTGACACATGAGTGTTGATTCATGCCACACTAATATTAACACTGCAAGACAGAAATCCAGACAAATCTCAGAGTAGTAGAAGTGATGTAATAGTAGTAATAGAGAAGATTGGAAGTTCGAAAAGAAAAAAAAGGGATAAAGAAAAATTCGGGATTCCGGAAATAAGAGTAGATAAATAATTAGTGCGCCTGGGCAATTGTGGACGATTCTGGGCCATATCATTAACCATTGGTTACCATAGTCCCATGAGCTCCAACCAGATAGGTTGCATTTAACTACATAACTCAGTTCAACAGTCAATAACTTCATGGACTGGTCCGAAACCTTGGTTTGGCTATATCCCAAACCATCTTTCAATCTGCTCCCACACTAGGCAACATACAGCCCCAAGTTAGGTAGCTAAGAATGAACTTGTTAAAGAATTAAATAATAATTACTTTCGTGAAATGTATTATATATATGTATCACAGATGGTGATAAAAATCACCACGATTGTTAACTCGATTAGTATGAACAAAATAACTTAAAAATATAGAAATATATAGCGTTTATTATAAGATGTACGATTTTTGCCTCAAAATATATGACGAAAGAACCAAGAAAGAAACAGTGAATGTGCTATATCTATATAGTTGATGCATTAATGTGTATTAGTGCTTAAATAAGGAACATAAGCACAAACACAATCATAATAAACTGTGATAGTAATGATAATAACAATGTGTAACAATCAGACAATGCAGGAATGAAAATATACAAAAACAGGAAAAAAGAAATGAACATTGTTCTGAAAAAAACAACCGGCAGTACAATATATCGCATAATGTTTGATTTGGTAACAAAAGATATGTCTCTTTTCATTCTCCAATGAAAAAATTGTTTTTCAGGGGCTTTTTCACATTAGTTCACCATTTTAGTCGACTTTTACAACTCCGTAAATTTTTCGAACAAACCAGAAACACGCGTAAAAGCCAATAGAACCTGACGAAGATAATAACAAGAGTAAACATTTTTAGAATGTTGTGGAACAGCATATAAAATTCAGCCACTAGAAACACTGATAATTGGTAACCAATATAATCTAAGAATAGAAAAATGGGGGAATAATAGTCAATAACAAGTGTTCATATCCCCCCTTGCTAAAGTCTAATTAAATCTAAGTGAAACTTCTAATCAATTATGGGCTGTGATGTAATCGACTTTACATGAAGGATATCCGACTGTCCAAACGAAGTGTTAAACAAGTGACCTAATGGTTAAAGCACAACTGTTTCAATCACTGAACCACTAAGCTTCACAACTGTCTAGTATGAAAGACAAACTCTAAGTTAACAACCAGCAGTATCACATACTAGAATACGGGACCAAAATGAGTGGTTGGATAAAGCAAGTAACTCGGTGATAAGACTAAATTCTTGTGAATACACAGTTCTAATTTTATATCTAACATTTAATGACCCCTCGTGGGGCATAGACTGCTGAATAAGGATATCCAGTCAACTCTTTAATACACAATAGTAATTCATTCAAAAACCATATAATCAATGAATTAGATGTGGGAACATGTGAGACAAAACAACCACGAAAAATGGTTATTATGATTATTATCACAGGAAACAACTTAGTTCAATGATAACTAACAAAGAAATCGATGGCTATATTACGATGATAAGTCAAAAATAATGTAAACTAAGCTTACGTGAGCAACATTATTTATAATAGTCTAGTTTATCGAACCTGAGGTACTATACAAAAATGATACAAGCTCTTGAAGTTACATTTCTTAACCGATGGCGGGAGTGTTGATACATGACTAGGAATTTTATTTCATGGCTGACCACTGGAAATATTTTGTAAATTACAATATACACTGTACATCAAGATACAGATTTCCTTGAGCAACCGCACTTTCAGTTAACAGTGCATGCTTCGAGAACATGTTGATCATCGATCATAACAGCTTACATCAGATCGAAATAAAAACTGGGAGCCATTTAAATAAAAAAGGTATTCGATAATAAGTACGTATTATATGATAAGATCAACTTGCTTACTGGTAAATAAAAAGTTAAGCCATAAAATGATGGCTGTATAACCGAAATAAAGGAATGCCGAGACTGCATCTTGAAATTCTAAACGTGTCACAAAATAATGAATGGAATAAACAAATAAATAGAATGATGTTCCAGCTCCTGTATATAGTGAACGCCACCACCAGCGATAATCCTATAAAGGAATACAGCAACAATAACAACAAATTTCAATTTTGATAAACAACTTTTTTTCATATTTTTATGTTTAATGATATTGATAAACCAAAAAGAGAAAACGAATTATACACCTAAATGATATGACCGGCTGGTTTGGACATGGTTCATTGGACAGTGAGTGAATGATCCGCAAAAGTGATTTTATCCGATCGCCTGTGACAATTGATCATTTTTATTTTGTTATATAAATTTGTATGTTGTTTGACAACATAAAACTTTTTCTTTTGACAGATGGCTATATATTTTAACTCGAATTATTCGGGGATTTACGTCAAACGTTTATTCTCATAAACAGCCATTCATTACTCGGACACAACATATCGTTGGACAACACATATCATGCGATCAGGATTCTTTTTAACAATCGAAGATTCGTACTCACTCCGAATCGCTAAGAGTCGAATTTAATACTGAAATGATAGATCCACTAAGATTCAGTATTCAAATAAAAATATTAATCATTGATAACGATGTTGATTGAGTCAGTTGAATTTCGTCATCCTCAATACGAACATGAGTAATCTATGTCAATTACTTATGATATATAAAAAGCTTACTTCAAATGATGAACAGTAAAAAATATAAGATGTAAAAGCGAAAGGATAATACTGTCAAGTCAGTGTCTTTTATGTGGTTTGTACAATTCTTTCAATCTAAATGTAGTCAGTATTTTGGAAGTTATTGGTAGCAGACTCATACCTCAAAGATTATTACATGTACCACACGCTTTCAGAACAATCGATTTACTTTGGAGTGACAATTCCTTTAAAATAACCTAATTTCGATACCTAAACAATACTGTTTTTAAGACCAATACTTATTAAGATGAGCATGGCGATTCAGTTAGTTTCTGGGGTACTTGACCAAAAAAACTGGTTTCCGAAATATCTCATCCATAATTCTTTAAATACTGTTAATCAATGTGTAGTCAACTTAATAAACTTTTACTGACATCGGTTTTCTTAGTGATGTGATTGGTGAATTGGGCCAAATTTCTGTGTTTATCAAATACAGTAGGGACTCAAATCTAAATCGGTAATCCTTATTCAGTTGTAATAGTAGGTGTAACTAACTTGCATACATTTATTAACTTGCGATGACTAGTATGTTGACCACTAAGACATAAGACGACTTTGAAAAATACTACAATATGGTCAAATAGAAATCTTGATGCTCTAAAGTAATGATGGTTCTGGTATACATTCACTCTCTCACCACATGAATTACACAGAAGCCTATAAGAACATCCATAGCACATGTCTCAACTAGAAACAGCATGTGGTTCAAAATTACTGTTCACAACAGATAAAAAAGACTGTGGGAACAACCCAGTAATTACTTAAGTGTGTTAGTTTACAAGGATTAGATAACCTTGAATCAGTGACTATTCAATTAAACTGTCGATTAAAAAAAACAATACACTAAAATCGAATCGAATCATCAAAAAATGACTGATAATTAAACAATTGACAATATTATTTCCTTTTATAACGCAGCTTGTGTAATAATTGATCATTGTATTGTTTATCGATTTGATATCCTCAGCTACTTTTACTGTAACACTAGAAAGAGGACGCGAAATGCGAATAAAAGCTTTACTCCAAGGCTAGTTTATGTAAAGAAAAACGAGGGTGTTTGTAGTACTACACCTGACATTGCACTACTAGAAATTTCCGGAACCATACTAAATATAGTAATAGCATACGAAAATATCTTATCAAACCTGTGGTACGTGATTCTGTACTTTTTAGGTGTTTCTGAGAAAATTCTATTCAACGCCGATTCAATAAAATGTTTCCTGAGGTTTCTGAGCTTTGGGGACCTTGACGAGAATTTTTTGGGACTCCATCAACACTGAACTCCCAAAAACTACTTCTACTAGTTAGTACACCTCAGAAAATAGAAGTGCAGTATATATATATATATATATATATATATATATATATATATATATATATATATATATATATATATATATATATGGTCGTGGTTGCATCGACCACATATTCACCATTCGTCAGGGTCTAGAACATAGGCATACTTATCGGCGTCCGACAATGGTGGTCTTTCTTGACTTAAAAGCAGCATTTGACTCGGTAGACCGTGAGATTCTGTGGCAGTGTCTGTCATTGAAAAGCGTACCACAGAAGTACATAAACCTTGTAAAGGCTCTTTACTCGAACACTACTAGTCGAGTGAGAGCTTATGGCGAACTGTCATCTACTTTTGCAACCTCAAGTGGTGTCCGTCAAGGATGTCCACTTTCCCCATTTTTGTTTACCTTCATCATAGATCTACTGATGGAAATAACTTTGTCGTCGACTGAGTTCTCGGGTATTGATCTCCATCCAGGAGGTCCACTTATCGACTTAGAATACGCAGATGACAGAGTCCTGTTTGGTGAAGACGCTGACAAAATGCAGTCTTCTGGTAGCACTGAGCAACAATGCCAGGATGTTTGGAATGCGCTTCTCTCCCTCTAAATGCAAGTTGTTGCTTCAGGACTGGTCTGCGTTAACACCTGAACTAAGGATAGGGAGTGAAGTGGTCGAACGCGTTGACAACTTCACTTATCTTGGAAGTCTGATCAGCCCTAATGGGTTGGTATCGGATGAAATCTCAGCACGGATTCGAAAAGCTCGTTTGGCTCTTGCCAACTTACGTCACCTGTGGCGAAGGCGAGATATCCGTCTATCAATAAAAGGACGAGTATACTGCGCGGCAGTCCGTTCTGTCTTACTTTACGGCAGCGAAACATGACCACTAAGAGTAGAAGACACTCGTAAGCTATTAGTATTTGACCACAGATGCCTTAGAAATATTGCTGGCGTCTGCTGGGATAATCGGGTAAGTAATAGTGAGGTTAAACGTAAGGTATTAGGAAATGATGGTAAATCAGTTGATGAGGTTATGAATCTTCATCGACTGAGATGGTTGGGCCACGTGTTACGTATGCCTGAACACCGATTACCACGACGGTCAATGCTATCCGGTATTGGAAATGGTTGGAAGAAAGTTAGGGGCGGCCAAACCAAAACGTGGCATCAGTGCTTGAAGTCACTAACTTCTAGTCTGAGCCATGTTGGTAGATGCAGACTACTTGGTTGGGGTCCGCGTGACTATCGTAACCGATGGTTGGAGACTCTTGGTGATATGGCTCAGAATCGATCACAATGGCGTCGGTGTATACACCCCCTGTTTTCCCTTAAACTAAGAGATTAAAATCGCTCTATATCTTTCTTTCTACGAACCAATTCTTTCTTCTTGTACTATATCTCTATATGCAATCTTTCTCTTATATATTACCACCTTTTACCTAACCACTGTTATGAATCTGGTGTTCATCTTGTTGTGCTGATGCGGTATGGCAACCTGGACCGATGCACATATGTGCCTGGTCCTACGTTGTAGCTGACTGACTGATATATATATATATATATATATATATATATATATATATATTCTCCCAAGAAAAAAAAACATAAAAATATTGAATAATTAGTGGTGAAATAAACAAGAAACCCACCTCTCCACACAGTTGAAAATAACACATTAGTATAGATGTCTCAGATATTGTAATAACCAGCATAATGAAAACTAAGAATAGAAAACCAAACATATAGTAAAATTGTGCTCCCCATATGCTATTGAATATAAAAAATAATTGAATGAATATACAACTGAACGGCAATAATCCACCAATGAAAAATGCCATCAACGGTCTACTATATAAACTTTGGTAAGGTATTTGTCGTGGTATTTGATTAGTACGAACAGGAGTTTCAAATACCTAGAAATAAAATTACATAAAAGACTTTAATTTTCAAAAAACAGCAAATGAAATTAAACGTACTAAATAAATTATCCAGTCGGATAGGGAAGTTCCGGACCAAAGGTATACATATGCGCCACTGGAATTATTTTTTTTAGTAGTTTAGGTAATGAACTGATCTTAGCTAGACCACCATAGGAAATCAGAAAACGTTGACCAGTAGTTTAATCCTGGTATGGGACGCCTGAGCATTACTCGTCCACCAACGTTGTCACCGTTGCATAGGACCCAAGACCTTTAGCCTCTAAATTGAATTCCCCTTTCATTGACTCATTTGGCAAGGAAATTGGCTTAGCGCAACATTTCGATTGCAAAGCCGCAGTTGTCTGGGCCGAAGTAGGTAGAGAGGAGTTTAAACCACCAATCGATTAAGTGGCAGGAAGCTGAAAGCCCTAAATACTAAGTCCCCGCTCCTTACATTCCGTAGTAACAGAATATAAGCACATTTTGAGATCAAATATCGAAACATAAGAGCTAAACATTTTTAAAAACTGTTTGAAGTTTTAAAAAAATCATTAACAATCGATCACTGATTAACAGCTTAAAATAGAGGACTGATCAAAATTCAAGCAAAATATTAACTACCGGAAGGATAAGTCACTTACAAATAATAAATACCTTAAACGTCGGGTCAAGTTAGTGACCAACTGAACTACGTAGCTTAATGGATATTGCGCTAACATTTGAAGTGATTGGTACAACGTACGAGTGTCAGTTGGAACATAAGCACTAAGGCATAGGTACACTGGTCAAAGCAGGGCAACGAGACGAGAGTCGTAGATTATATTTCTGGCCATGATCAAAATCACACTAAAACTTAGTAAAAGGATTTCATTTTCTTCAAATTTTACAAATATTCGTCAGTGGTTATACATTGAGTAACAAATAATCGAACTACCCCACACTTACTGGCTTCCTGAAACCGAAGAATGCTCCAAGAAAACACAAGGGTAGACTAACACAAAGCCAAAGTGCTAAAAGTGCCACTATAGTACCAAATGGAGTAGCAGTTGCACTATCCAAAATCCAAAGTGCGACATTCAAAATAAGAAACGTTGAAAAAACTAAGGCAGGACAAACTGTTGCAGTTAGTATAACATTAGTTTTCCATCGCAAACCGCCGAAAAATTTGTAGATTCGAGCTGAAGCATAACCTATAGGTAAAATAAAAGAGTAAAATCAATAAAATGGAATAGTTACTCAATAATTTCACGAAATATCGAAATATCTTATGATAACATATTGTAGGAAACAGATTTTCAACGTGGATTAAAAACTTCAGTGAACGTCATGAAGACTGTAAAAATGATAGATGGTCTAGATAACCATCGAGCACTTGTACTGGTGAAAACATTCATGGTGTATAACCTCTTGTTCTTTTCAGCAGCCAAATGATTTGTCCACATGATTAATGATAAGCACTTGGAAACAATGCTTGAAATGCGTTTCTCCCTCTCTAAATGCAAAGTGTTACTTCAGAACTGGCTTGCGTCAACACCTGAACTAAGGATAAGGAGTAAAGTAGTCGAACGCGTTGACAACTTCACTTGGAAGTTTGATCAACACTAATGGGTTGGTGTCTAACGAAATCTCTGCACAGATTCAGAAAGCTCGTTTGGCTTTTGCCAACTTATGTCACCTATGGCGAAGGCGAGATATCCATCTATCAATAAATGGACGAATATAGTGTGCAGTGGTTCGCTCTGTTCTACTTTACGGCTGCGAAACGTGGCCATTAAGAGTAGAAGATAATCGTATGTTACTAGTATTTGATCATAGATGTCTTAGAAATATTGCTCGCATCTTCTTGAATCACAACGTAAGTAATAGTGAGGTTAGCCGCTGTGTAATAGGTAATGATGCCAAATCAGTTGATGAGGTTGCGAATCTTCATCGACTGAGGTTGTTGGGTGAAGTGTTACGTATGACTGAACACCGACTACCACGTCGCGCAACGCTGACTAATATTGCAGACGGTTGGAAAATAGGGGCGGCCAAATCAAGACGTGGTATCAGTGCTTGAAGTCACTAGCTTCTGGTCTGAGCCATGTTGGTAGATGCAGACTACTTAGTTGAGGTCCGTGTGACTATCGTAACCAATGGTTGGAAATTATGGGTGACATGTATCAAAATCGATCACAATGGTGTAGGTGTATACACTGTTTGACTTCCCTCAAATCGTGAAATTAAAATTTCTACAAACTAATTCTTTCTTCCTGTATTATATCCTTAACTCCGCCTGTAGCTCTTATAGGGTTACTGCTGGTCCCAAGCCCAACGTCAAAGCAGTTCTACTGTATGGAGCTGAAACTTGGAGAACTACAACCACCATCAAGAAGGTACAAGTATTTATAAATAGCTGTCTACGCAAGATACTCAACATCAATTGGCCGGATACCATCAGCAATAGCCTTCTGTGGGAGAGAACAAACCAACTTCCAGCTGAAGAAGAAATTAGGAAAAGACGATGGAAATGGATAGGACATACATTACGCAAATCGTCAAACTGCATCACGAGACAAGCCCTAACTTGGAATCCTGAAGCGAAAAAGAGGAAGGCCAAAGAACACATTGCGTCGGATAATAGAAGCAGATATGAAAACGATGAATTACAACTGGACGGAGCTAGAAAGGATCGCCCAGGACAGGGTTGGATGGAGAATGCTGGTGAGCGGCTTATGCTCCTTCACGAGGAGTAACAGGCGTAAGAAGAAATAAGTATTATATCCTTATATGCAATCCTTCTTTTAGATATCACTACCATTCAGGTAATTACTTTTATGAATTTTGTGTTCATCTTGTGCTAATGAGGTATGGCAACTTGGACCGATGCATATATGTGTCTGGTCCTAAATTGTAACTGACTGACTGACGGATACATAGAAATCGTATATGAATTCCATTCCAGAACAATACTCGATGATAAAGTGTAATAAAGCAAGGGAGATTAAGAGCCAAACTTTTGAAGAACTCCCCGAGTATTTTAAACAATAGGAATAGAGAGAACTGTCGCAGACCGTTACCCAACTATGGACGCATTTAGTTATCTCTCTTGGAACGGACAGCATAAAAGTGGGTTAGCTAAAAGATTATCGTATTTCTATTAATTCTACTCCAAATGCTCTAGCACGACTGTGGGTGAGGAGAGTCCTCTCCCCAAAATGCCCTCACATAGCCACGCGTATACAGTCACTACCAGGGAAGTCCCACTGACTTCTCAAAGCAGGGGTGTTGTTTACGGAATTGAGAGGACGAAAATCGAATGTCCGGCGCTCTAACCGGGTTGGCAGACACGGAGGGCCAACTTAGGGTAGTTGGAGAACCCTGATTCTAAACCAGTGGTGCACATGGGTTTCAGGATCCTGATGGGACAAATGACGTATGAACCAATCGTTGGTCACCGGCTACCATGGGACTGCATTTCCTGACGTTGCTCCACTGCCTTGTGGATTAGACCTTTAGGTTGAAGGCTCCAAATGTGGCCCCTTAAGAAAACCACCTGCTTCGGTCTGGGTACCCGGGCAGTATCACAGCTCACACACAAATCAAGTGACTTGCGTGGCGCATATGCATTTAGTGCCCCCTTGTACCAATATTTATGTGCTCAAATAAATAGGTAAATAATTCTGCGTTGGAATTCGTATAAAGTACGTTTAGCACAAATTTAACAACAGATCAAACGATTACCTTTATATATGAAGTTATAAAACTGGTTGCATGCGGAGTCAGTAAAAAAATTAACCCGAAAAAATGATTGTATTGCGACAAACGGGAATATTTTTAAGTAGGTAAGGTTAATATGCCCAAATTGACGCTTTTATAATCTCAACTCGCATATTTACTGAATAGCTAACATACACGGATGGATGTTTTAGACCATTCATAACGTTGGTTCACTTTTCGATGGACAGCTTAGAATTCAATGACAAATGAACACTGTTCGGGAATAAATGTTAACATCTGTTAGATGTTTAGTCGTTCCGCTTGTACTATTTTATCTTGAAGTTAGATTCAGCAGAGCAATTTGCAATAAGTAATATGAAAAAATACAATGCAAAATCGTATATTAAACTGACTGCGATTTTTGTTTAGCATTACTTCCGTCTTTAATTCAATAAGATGATAATAATATTTGTTTTATTTTCAGTATGATATTTATTTCATTATAACATTGATTCATTTCAGTATGACAATCTATGCATTTAATCCTTGTGAAATTCGTAGCTTGGGTTTTTGTAGTAACTCTGTTTTTCCCTTAAGTGTGATAATTTTTAACTAAACATCAAGTGTGAACAACATTAATATATAAATAAAGGAGTGTATTCATGTATCCTTTCGATTTACTTCTAGGGTCAAATAAATCCATATCAGCAGCTTTTGTGTTTTCCCGACGCGTCGTTGGATTCCGGGTTTCCAGTACCAAGTACAAGTTCGCTAGGTATTCGACAAAATCAACAGTGACAGATATAGAAACAGGCATATCCGTTTACCAAGTAAATATTTGTGTAATCTGATATCAGTAATAGAGCCTGTAATAGCTGATGATATTTCTAAGCGATTGATCAAACCAAACTAAATACAGTAATTGTCGAACTTGCAAGCCACCGCCTATACATAAATAACTACCTTACATATACAAATCGATCAACTAAACACAGTTCATGAATATTATCATTTAACTTATAACATTTTAAACAGAAAAGTGACTGACAACTATACGTTGTTTTTTTTAAAAAATAATGAATAATTAAGAATATATTATGACTTTACCTGAAGAAGCTCCTAAACAAGCGAATACAGCCAAAGCACAAGTCATCAACGCACCACGATTGGCTGGACTCAAAAATCCGAGACATGCAAAGAATAGGGTGACCAATAACATTTGAAAGATTTGAACTCCTGAGCCGACTACAACTGAGAAAAGCATACCCCAGTTAGGCGGACGAAATACATCACCGTGAACTAATTTCCAGCCAGATTCCTCTTGAACAGCGGTCTAAATAATGTAGAAAATACAACATGGGATAGTATGCACAAAAGAGGGCAAATATGCAAGGACGACAGGACAAATATCACTTACAGCGCTTTCAAGTTCTGTGTAACGAGCAATATCACGACGTAGTGTTCGCAAAAGAATGGTTGCAAGAAGACCAGAAAGGAATAATGTTAACACACATGAATTCAAAATAGATAACCATTGAATGTTACTTTGAGGCATTGTGTCCAAAATATAATCCCAACGAGATGACCATTTACGCGTTAGATCCTCCTATAGTTTAAGTGAAAACAACAATGAGATAGATCAGTTAAATTTGAGGATAATTTTCGTAATAGAATTATTATCTGGAGGACTATCGAAAACTAGAAAGCGATGAGCAGTTCTTTAATCTAAGTACAGGACTCGTCATCAGTCCCTAATCAGAACGCCCAGTTCGCATAGTACTCCCTTTAGACCGCTAGGAACATAATATTGAATGAAGAACATGAAAGAATGAACTTAGTCCTGGAAGATATTATTTAGCACAAACAATAATAAACTGTAACAAAATACATATCTCTACCTTTAAATTAAGACCAATCTCCACAAACACTGGATTAAAGATGCAAATACACATACTTAAAATATAACTAGAAAAATTAAACAATGTATCTGAAGAAAGTAGAAACAGATCATTAGTTGGTGAAACCACATTACAGAATGGAATTCCATTAGTGGTACGCACTTGCGTTAATCGAGTCTGTTGGAATAGAACTTAAAATAGTTCATGAAATTGTAAAAATTAAATGACTCAATGTTCTATGAAATGTTAAAACGTAATCTAAAATCTTTCGAGAAAGCAATATTAAATGAACAAAACAAAGCTTATCACTATTCACTATATGCGCTTTCAGACGTTTTGTCGTGTCTACTTTTAGTGTCTTTCTTCAAGTGTGACTTGTTAACTATGTACAAGTTTCTGTACTCGGCTATAACCTGTACACATATTGTATGATTATTATCAGTAACATTGGAAAATTGTTTAAAGTAAATGGACTAAATGGGGTTCGGACCTGCGAACCTGTGACTGAAGGTCAGTCGGTATCATTATGTCACACTATGCTTTAGTAGACATACACATACAATTTTTGATAAATCCACTTACTTCGAATGTTACGCTGTATGTGTAAGTTATTTTAAGTTCATCCTTTAAATCAGGCGGGAGTATTAATGACTGCTTTGATGTACAATCCGGTGCATTGTTTGGATGAGCAATACTATGAAATAAATAAATAAAACAAGGTATGTGAGAAGATTACGAACATAACGCAGCTGTAAATAAAAAAGTATCCACTGATATCCATTTCAAGAATAGGAAATATGAAAACATGAAGAAAGGCAAGTGTACACAAATACATTTCAGTAAATTGAAAATTTGACGGATTAAGCCTGACCAATAGAAAATTTCTGGCAAACTGAGATTGGATTTAATCAATATGACATTCAATTTATTCACAAGTAACTTCATTAGTGTTCGTTTCTTGGTATTTCGCAACACCAATAAGAAGTCATTGTTAAGCCATGTAAAGTAGCATTGAAAGGAAAAATCAGGTGAGTCGGTTGAGATAAAATCTCCAACTAATATCTTATCCGAGAAGTGCATAGCGTAATTTTTTGAGTGAAATTCAGAAATACATTGCGATCATCTTTATAATTAGTGTGACAAATGAATGATATTAAAAAATTAAATATATGAACGTCAGACTGAAAATGTTGGCCAGATTACTTAAACACATAAATACTGGTACAAATGATACTATATATATACGCCACACAAATCATTGAATGTGTGTGGACTAGCATACTGTGCAGTTGCCCAAACCGAAGCAGATAGTTTTCTTGAGGAGGAACATCCCGAGCCTTTAACCGATAAGTCTAATCCACAAGGCAGTGGAGTGATGTTAAGAGATGCAGTTCCATAGTAGCCGGTGAGCAAATATAGGACCATACGTTGTTTGTCCCCTCAGGATTCTGGACCCCATGAGCACCATTGGTTTGGATGGTTTTCCGACTCCTCTAGGTGAGTCTTCCATACCCATTGGCTTTCGATGTCCAACGTCTAAACTTCAAAAATGCAAAACCATCGAGCAATAGATGTTCTGACTCATTTAATACATAATTCGCGCACTCAACTCTCAGCCATACTCTAGTCATATGATGATTAGAGATACACATTGAGTATCCAAAACGAACGTGGACAGAGGTTTGAACCTGTAACTTAATGGATAAAAACTCAAGTAATAGATGTATTCAATATACAACTTACAATTAATCACAAGGTTTAGTAATGATAATACATTATATACAGTTTCGTGTGGTCGGTGATAACACATGAAAGAATAGCGGGTCTACGACAATAGTGATGCTAATGTGTGATCACAAGAGATAAACACTTCCATACAAGATCATTCAACAACTTATCTTTTCTGAATCACATGGACAGTACAATCTGTCCTTTGCAAAAACAACTTAGTTCAAATATTTTATAAACCATACATTCATAAATAAAACGGATAGAACACTTGATAATTAGAATACAGTAATGAGGAAAACGAAGATCAAAATTAATATCAGATTTTAATTTGAAAATGAGATTTTTTCTGAAATTTCTTCAAGTGCAAAACATAAAATCACAACAACTTATAATAAGCAACCTCATATCTTACCTACTAGGAGTGGCAATCACTGACAGAATACGTCCAGCTTTAACATTTCCTGCACTACTCCACGAATCTTTAACTGGATGATAGACAATGTGCAGACTGACATGATTCAACAAGATCGTGCGATGTTTGGCCAAAGGCTGTTTAGAAAAGGGAATATATATATATGATCATTTTGTAAGCACCAATAAAACATAATCGAAGTTATATTAAATATACAATACCTCAAGCTCAGCTTCTTAAAGAGGGGTATTAGGTTTTGTCAACTGAAATGGTTGTAAGAATGGGGTTCGTTAAGTCAGTCAGAAATCTTAATGTAAAGATGGTTAAACTAATATTGTTAATCTACTCAAAGTAGCTGATATAAATTTAATACACGTATGAATTATAACATTTCAAATCACCACAATGAGACGAAATCAACTGAAGGGAGAGTAAGAAACTGAATACAGCAATACTAAAACCAGTAAAAGAAACCAAGTATAAGCAAAAAAAGAAATCAGATGATGAAATGTAGAAAATAATTCGATGCTTAATACTTATGGAACAATCGATATCGTCTCAATTTTCTAACCATCAAATACGTTTACTTAGCGGACGATAACTAATAAACGTATTCTCCAGTGAAAACATGACATTGAATTTTAGTGCTGGCGCAGTCACAGCCTGCCGACGAGTGGCGGTTACTCTTGTAACACAGTAAATGTTTACCTATCAGATATCAAATTATCCCATTCTGTTTACAAACGCTGTCTTGTATCACCACTTCATCTTAAAGACGGATAAATTTAACCCAACAACGATTTGGAACTTCAGTTAACAAGTTGAGAATTTTCTCAACTAAATCCTGATATTTTCTTACGATCGTATATTGTCTGTAGATACGTTTGATTTTGCACTGATAATATTGAGACAAAAATGCACATTGCAAAGAAATATTCTGTGTCCTTACTAGGTACAAAAATGTGTTTCCAGACAAAAAACTGGAACTATTATTTACAAAGCTAAAACCTTCGTGATAGCTGAAGGAGTAAGGTTAACCTGACTTTGGGTATTATAGTTTATCACAGTAAGTCAATCATTTAGATGCAACGTACAACCTGCCGCATGTGCGCACAGGTTTATGCTTTCACATCCCATTACAAGTTTTCAGGGCGAATTCCGGAGTAATAAAGGTAGTAACACTACTAGTGGTAATAGAAAAGACAAGACATCGAAGATGTAATTCGAGAAAATTTAAATTAGTGAAATAATTCAAAAATAAATTTAGTAGGAATGAAAAAGCTTGGGATCTAAAGGAAAACAAAGAGCGAATGCACCTAAGTTATTGCAAACGCTTCTAATGCATGTCGATTAAAGTTTTTAACCATTGGTTATGATAATCAGGCGGATCCCAAACAAATAATCTTCATCTATCTACATGGCTCATCCCAATAGTCAAACACTTCACGAACTGATGCCAAATCTTGAATTGACCACCACTAACCTTGTTTCAGACTGCTCCTAAAGACAACATCGCCCGCCGAGGTTGGTGGTGGACAGGCACAAGCAAAATATGTTCAAACCACCTCAGTTGGTGAAGACATACTACTGTACCACCCGACTTACCATCTTTATCCAGTACCCTTCGTTTAACTTCAGCATTTCTCACCAAGTGGTCCCAAAATATACGAGCGATGTTTCGAAAACGCTTATGACTAAATACTTATAACCTACGAATATTGTCTCAAAAACTACATTTTAAAGCCATAAAGTAGAACGGAGTGAAGTGCTGTGCAGCAAGACCGTTCCTTATTGGGTAAATGAATAACTCCCTTACACCTCAAGTGATCCAAGCCGTCAAAGGTGAACCGAGACTTCGTCAGACACTAATCCAGTAGGGTTGAGACTCATAAGATAAGCGAGGCGGTTGACATGCTCAACTACTTCATTCCTTATCATCAAATTCAGACATAGACGTACACAAATTCTGAAGCAATATTTTGTATTTACAAACATGCTCGCATTGTTACTTTAGGCATTCATAAGATCTTATAATTTTTCAGCGTCTTCATCAGATAGAACCATATCACCTGCGTACTCTAGGTCAACAAGTGAATCTCCTGACAGGAGACTAACCCCTGAAAAGTCAGACGATAAGTGTGATTTATGACACAATATATGTGACAAAAACGCCTGTAGCTCTTCCAGAGTTACTGCCGGTCCCAAGCCCAGGTAAAGAGGAGGGTTGGGCATGGGGTTAGCGACCCCATCCCGTAGAAAACTAACTCACTAAAAAACACTAGCCAGAAAAAATAATTCAGACCACATAAACTCTGCCCTGGGAGTTAAAAGGTCTTCATTTAGAACTATGACGACTTGCGGTGAAAGCCAAGTTCCTTCGGAAGCCACGAGGTCGATGCCCCTTCTTACAACCAAAGCAACAATTTTTATTGGTACATGGAACGTCTGGACAATGTCGGAGACCGGGAAGACCAGTCTAATAGCAACGGAAATGAGGAGATACAAACTGGCAGTACTGGGAATCAGCGAAACCCATTGAACCCAAGCTGGACAACAAAGGCTAGATACGGGAGAGATGCTGCTATACTCCGGTCACGAAGAGGAAAATGCTTCACACACTCTGGGAATTGCGCTACTGCTGTCAAAAGCAACACGAAACGCACTTGTAGGATGGAAACCTCACGGATCCAGAATCATCAAAGCATCACAGAAAACAAAGGAGGGAATGACATTTAATGTTATCCAGTGTTAAGCACCCACCAATGACAGCAATGCCGACGACAAAGATCAGTTCTACGATAGGCTGCATTCAATCATACCAAAGAAATCATACCCAAGAAATGACTTCACCATTCTGATGAGTGATCTAAACGCCAAAGTCGGAATAGACAACACCGGATATGAAGATATCATGGGACGACATGGACTGGGAGAGAGAAACGAAAATCGGGAAAGATTTGCAAATCTGTGTGCACTCAACAAATCGGTCATAGGCGGCACAATATTTCCACATAAACGTATACGCAAAGCTACATGGATCTCACCGGACCACACCACAGAGAATCAGATACATCATATTTGCATCAATAAAAAATTCCGAAGGACAATGGAAGATGTGAAAACCAGGAGAGAAGTTGACATAGCTTCAGATCACCACCTAGCTGTAGCCAATTTAAAACTGAAGCTAAAGAAGAACTGAACAACTGGACAAACAGCACTACAAAGGTTCAATACAGCCTTCCTTCGAGATACTAACAAACTCAATGAATTCAAGATAGCTCTCAACAATAGGTTCCAAGCCTTACAAGATCTACTGAAGGAAGAAGAAACTACTAGGGAGGACAACTGGAAAGGTATCAAAGAAGCATTAACTTCAACGTGTCAAGAGGTTCTGGCCTCAAGAAGCAACATCATAAGGAATAAATCTCTATAGAAACACTGGACAAGATCAAAGAAAGGAAGAAGACAACAATTAACAATAGCCGAACACGAGCAGAGAAAGTCAAGGCACAAGCCGAAAACACAGAAGCAAACAAGCAAGTAAAGAGCATTAAAGCCGATAAGCAGAAATACGTGGAAGAACTAGCAACGACGGCGGAAAAAACGGCAAAAGAAGAAAATATGAAAAAGCTTTATGATACAACGAAGAAACTAGCAGGGAAATATAGTAAACCAAAGAGACCGGTCAAGGACAAAGAGAGCAGGCCAATCACTGAAATTCAGGAACAGCGGAACAGATTGGTAGAGTACTTTGGGGAACTCTTCAATAGGCCGGCTCCAATGGATCCACCGGACATCGAAGAAGCACACACAGATCTTCCTATAGATGTCGACCCACCAACGATGGAAGAAATCAGGATAGCCATCAGACAAATCAAGAGTGGGAAAGCAGCAGGACTGACAATATAACAGCTGAAGTACTGAAGTCAGACATCGAAGTAACTACAAACATGCTTCACCTTCTACTCAAGAAGATTTGGGAGGAGAAACAACTACCGATGGACTGGAAAGAAGGACACCTCATCAAGATTCAAAAGAAAGGAGATCTGAGCAAATGTGAAAAATAAAGAGGCATCACACTACTGTCAGTACAAAGGAAAGTCTTCAACAGGGTTGCTGAACCGGATGAAAGACGCATTAGACGCCCAACTTTGAGATCAACAGGCTGGATCGGTTGTGTACAGACCGAATTGCAACACTACGGATCATCGTCGAACAATCAGTTGAGTGGAACTCGTCACTATACATCAACTTCATTGATTATGAAAAAGCATTTGACAGTGTAGATGGGAAAACATTATGAAAAACTTCTTCGACACTATCGAGTCCCTGAGAAGATTGCCAACATTATCCGGAACTCATACGACGGACTACGGTACAATGTCGTGCATGTAGGACATCTGACAGGTGCATTCCAAGTAAGGACCGGATGCAGACAAGGCTGTCTACTCTCCTCCTTCCTCTTTCTTCTGGTGGTCGACTGAATTATGAAAGCCTTGACATCTGAGGGGAAACACGGAATACAATGAACCGCTCAGAACCAATTACACGATTTGGATCTCGCAGATGACCTATCCCTCCCATCCCATACACACGAACAAATGCAGTCTCTGCATCAGTAGGCCTCAACATACATAAGGGGGAAATTAAGTTCCTCAAATGCAACACGGCGAGCACCAACCCAATCACGCTTGATGGTAAATTTTCGGAAGAGGTGGAGTCTTTCACGTACCCGGGTAGCATCACTGATGAATATGGAGGATCTGATGCAGATGTAAATGCAAGGATTATTAAACAAGGACAGCATTCCTACAGTTAAATAACTTTACGGAGCTGAAACTTGGAGAACTACTACAACCATCATCAAAAGCGTACAAGTATTTATAAACAGTTGTCTATGCAAAATACTCAACATCCATTGGCCGGATACCATCAGCAACAGCCTTCTCTGGGAGAGAAAAAATCAGCTTCCGGCTGAAGAGGAAATTAGGAAAAGACGACGGAAACGGATAGCACATACATTACACAAATAATCAAACTGCACCACGAGGCAAGTCCTGACTTTTAATCCTGAAGGGAAGTGGGAAAGCGGAAGGCCAAAGAACACATTACGTCGGGAAATAGAATCAGATATGAAAAGGATGAATTACAACTGGACGGAGCTGGAAAGGATTGACCAGGACAGGGTTGAATGGAGAGTGCTGGTAGGTGGCCTATGCTCCTTCACGAGGAGTAACAGACGTAAGTAAGTAATATTACAAAGTTAAATAAAAACGGAGAAAGCGGACAATCTTAACGAATATCACAATAGATGGGCAAACTGAAAAGAATTTATACACTAATGAGCAACAAATTAGTGAGTGCAATATGAATATTAATAATAATGAACACTAATGCTCTTTCTGCAAATCAACATCTGGTGACATTTATTTTTTTGCTAGGCTTGAAGAATTCTATTTAATCCGATATACGATTGAAAATAAAGGTGACACAACTGATAACGGAAAATCTTATGAGCTTCTTCTATACATTACATTGAATAGTATCCAGAGTGAAAACGGTAAAATGTTGAAAATACTATAAGCTGTAATTTAATGTTGTAATAAATATATGTATATAATTCCCCTGGAAAACGAAAGGCATCCATTCTTATATAATCGATACAATTGGCACCAACTATAATGCAGAAACGCTTGATTTCAGAAGGATCAAATGAAGAAATTAACACAATAATTTTACACAGTGAAGATCTCTTGTTACTCTCCAACTTGTCTATCCACAGACTGCCATCCTAAGCTTACCAAACAGTTCTACACCGAAATTTTTACACTGCACAAATGGTAACTGAAAGTGTGAAAACTTATATCTTAATTGCGCATCAAGTAACAGAACAGTCGAAATAATCAAATTTTTTCAAGTTACTGTCAATTCTAAAACCTCGAGAAAGAAAAGAGGAAGAAAAGCAATCAGTGGAATAAACTTCTGAAATGTCTTTAAGAATGTTCAAAAGAGTCAAGAGAGATTAAGTGTTGAGTAACAAAATGTCTGTTGTGGATTGGTAATCATAGAACAAGTAAAAATACCATAATTAACGAATTCACATTCTGATGCTTTTTCCATTTAATAAGATTCCAGCATCTCACAAGCCACTACCTGGGTTCATAAAATTCCTTATTATGGCGAAAATAGATAGATGTTTAATACGTCAGCTGCTTGAATGGTTGTTACTGAACTTCCATTCGCTTCTATATGAGTAAAAGCCTTGCTCTAAGATTAATATATGTACATCAAAAAAGTATTTGTAAGGTTTCTTATGACTTTTACACCGAAAGCTCCCGGAAATGCACTAAATATGTAAGCAATATCACCAACACAACACAATCCTTTGTTTTCTTCCATGTTTTTGAGAAGCTTCTATTCAAAAGTGATTGGATAAAACGTTTCCAGGCTAGTTTTGGGCCTGTAGAGACTTTGTTGATGGATATTTGTGGACTCTCAACAGTGTTAAATGTTGGTTTGAATGCTTGCTTTGTCATCTTACTTTCATTTCCATTAACATCTCATATTAAATTACGAAATACCTCACGACGTCCAATAAAAATAGTTAAATGGTACAACTATCTCACCTATTTTAAAACATTCAAAATAGCACGCTAAGGTAAACATGCATGGCTATTTAATATATGGTAATAATATTATTATAAGATAAATCCAAAGCAAAAATTTAAATCATTACACAACATCATTACAACACAACTAAAACCGTAACTTACTATTCCTAAACACACAGAATCCGATTTATCCTGATTACCTTCAAAGCATCCAAGTGGAATAGAAGTTTTACAATACTTTTTTCCGCCTACAGTTTGCACACAAACTGTAACTGGTAAGTTATCTATAACCCTGAAATGAAAACACAGGCCTTGTTGTATGTGCATGGAACACGGTATCAAGTAATGATCGAATAGATATAGATTAATGAATGCCAACATTCATGTTTTTAATTAAAAACTAGAGTTAAATGTCAGCTGCAAAAAAACAATTGAGAATCATGATCACGAAGCATTTTTTTCTATAATACTTGTAAATGTAGTACTACTTTTTGTCTGAACTGCATTTTAATGAACAATAAAATTTATATTAACCGGTTGAGTGTGTGTTAGCTCGTGTAAATGACAAAAAAACTAAATTATCGATAGAAGGCTATATATATTTGTAGTAGGCACTGATCTTAACGGAAAAATAAGACAAACTTTTATTGTACAACAATTTGAATGATAACTATGTGACTAGGAATGAGATTCAAATATTAGAATCATAAAACGCAATATCTTGGGATAGATTTACAGTCAGCTAAAGTAAAAATTTGTATATTTAGCTTTAAGTCACATAATTTATGTAAGGATTAGTGACAAGTGCAATTTCACAGTGATACTATCGTAGAAAAAACACTTAAATACCTTACCAATGGTGCTCATAGCCCATCATAATAGCCTTGGTAATAAATAAATATTTCTTGTAGTCAGTATGGGAGTATTTTTTCGAACAAAGGACTTTACATGTCTCTTCTTTGCCAAATATAATCTAAAATGTAAGAATAAAGGTTCGAAACTTTTAACATGGGAAAACAGATGATCTTGAGTTTCCAACACACAATCCCTGTTGATTACTAGATAAGTGAATTTAGGTGAACTATTGCAAGGAAATGTGGCTCAGTAGCCAACGTATGTATGTAGTACTGCATATGTTAACTACCTAAAATCCGATAGCCACTATGTGGGAATTAATGTTTCACACATAAAGACTATGGATACTTTCAAATGTATATGATTTTTAATATTAAATGAATACGACAACACATCAAATAATGTCATACATTCAAAAATATTTAACTCCAGTTACTAGTTGGATCCGAAATGATTCTCCTTTTGAAGTCACTGCTGTAGTTTCAATGGTATTATTTGAGGACATAGTGAGTTTTACTGCTCTCTTCCAAAGGACTATGCATGACAACAATGATAATCAGTGTACTCATAACAGATTAATCCAAACCTTAAATTGGAATGCAGCCCTGGCAGGTGACTTAGGAACTTAATTGTAGTCTTTGAATAACTATGTAAGAGACCACTTGTCCTATAAAACGTACTGTAAGCACATATGGATTTACCATAATAACTACAGTGAGAATCATTTAGATAAGCTTACTTGCCAGTCTTTAAAAAGGTATTTAAAACTAGAGTTCCCAGTGTAGGTAATATATATGTTGGGTATGGCATGTTATTTATAAGTATATCTTGCTTGGTAAGTTGTAGATCATAATAGCTGGATTTTAAAAATATGACTGGGTATTCACTTTGGATAGTTGCAACGAGTATGTTATATTTGATGGTTTTACTAATTTCCTAATAACGTCATAAATCTTGCAGAGGACGGATGAGATATCTAATTGCAAATACATTGCGATGAAGTCAATTAGCGTGGTAATAGACTTCCACAAAAGACGGCTAATATGAAGAATGACCTTAGATAGGGCGTTCCCAACTTATGCCGAAGATATTTGTGTTGCTTTCAGAATCAGAAGGGTTGATAGGGTGGACGATACTTTTATATTCAAACCTGACACATGTTTGACAATTATGCTTTGTAAAGATGCAGACAATTTGGTTGGGGTCCGTGTGACTATCGTAACCAATGGTTGGAAATTATGGGTGACATGTCTCAAAATCGATCACAATGGTGTAGGTGTATACACTGTTTGACTTCCCTCAAATCGTTAAATTAAAATTTCTACAAACTAATTCTTTCTTCCTATATTATATCCTTATATGCAATCCTTCTTTTATATATCACTACCATTTAAGTAATTACTTCTATGAATTTTGTGTTCATCTTGTGCTAATGAGGTATGGCAACTTGGACCGATGCATATATGTGCCTAATCCTGCGTTGTAGCTGACTGACTGATATATTGTCATTCACCGTACAAGCAACAAGTAGCTGGCTTGCTGAAGTTTATTCCAGCACATTTGCTTCAAAGAATCCTCATAAGGTACCATTTGGTCTTACCCTTACGTTGATGACAAACAATAATCTACCACTAGTAATTTTATTGTTCTTCGTTTGTTAACACGCGTGTATTGCAATAACTACAGCAGTGAGGCATTTTCTACTTTTACGTTTTGTTCAAAACTGATAGTGGGACTACGATTCATTTTCACAAGTATTCTATTTTCAAGCATCGTGCGTCGGGGTCAAATTACACTCCTTTAATTCACTATGAGAACTTCTACATTTTGTCTTCACACAAATGGTATAGCTCAAAGCCTATTAAAGAAACAAGTGCTTAGTTATTGAGATAGAACCCAAAAACTAAAAATGATCATATATTCCACATTTATTGGTCATACGTTTTCCTTTGTACTAGAAGCGAGAATGGAGATTCATAGAGTGCACAGTTACGCATGATTCTAATATGAATTTATAAGTGCATGATCACGAAGAACTTACATACTATCTAACGTGCTGTTAATCTAAGCAAAGTCGGAATTCTAGACAAAAATAACAGCTTAGAGAAAAACTAAGATTTTAGGATGAAGTGAATCCATCACTATAAAAATATTATCACCTCATAACTCGATGGTGATAGACGTTCTCCAAACACCACCTGACCGAGATTTTCGACAGGAGATGGCTCTGAAGACAAACTGCAGAAATCAAACCTAAAATTGAAACGTAGTGAAAGATAAAATCAAGAGTCCGACTAGAAAATATAATGAAACGCAAGAAACAACAAACAGCTTTATAAGACGAGCGTTGATGAGATTCCTGAAACATAGACTCCTACTGTTTACATCTGAACAAAAAATCTAGCTAAACTCTCCAATGAACAGTATGTTGGCGATGTACACACAGAATAGTTTAAATTTTCGAAAACATCTCATTCGGATTGTCTGCATACTATCACGGGAAAATATTCCTGGTGTTTCATCCACTGAAAGCATCGAATTTGGTCACCACTTAGCAAAGCAGTCTTAAAATTGCTTGAACTTATCTGAAAAAAATTGAGGTAAAAAATGATTTCTATGTGCATATTGACTATGAAGATCCTGATTTAGGTATAAGGCGCATTTGTGTTTACCTACTGAATGCTCGCTCATTCTATAAATGAAAGTCCAAAAATAAGAATTTATCTTTAATTAAAGGGAATCCAACAAGAAAAATACCCAAGGAAGTAGTGAATTCCGAGTTAGTTACATAAACCGTGATGTACACTCAACAGACTAGCGCTGTTGATTTTAGTAATTAGTAATTGGCTTTTTTCAGCCCATCACCAAAATATTTGTAATCAGATATGTCAACAGAACTACCGATGAAGAAAAAACTCACTGACATTGTGAACCATAACGTATAACCACAAAAATAGGTCGTTCTTAACTTAACATTATGCTGAAATGAAATGTGACAACTTGGATTGACACATGTTTGTGCCGCTATGACGTGATTTACAAACGATAGGATTCCCATGAGTAAACCCCTGGATAAGATGACTGCTAACAAAACTTCGTCCAAAATGCCAAAATATGGAGTTCTGTTTTAGGCTGCAATCGAATAAATTAAATGTTATCAAATAACGAGCGGCATAACCCAGGGTTACTTCGAATAATAAACAATCTATCACTACGATCATGCTTTGATAATCCCGTTATATTTAGAGTCCAATCATAATTTCACAACGTTGATATCCCCGTTTGGTTTGTAGTATTATCTTCAGGATAAGTTTATGAAGATATCCTACAAAATACTTTAAAAATTTCTACAAAGCAAAGCTTCGTTAAGACGAACGTTTTGAAATGATAAGTCTCTCCGAAGTAGATGCGTGTCTCTTATGGGTATATGTCCCAAAACATTCAAAACCTGTTAATCGTATACTAAGACGGTTCTGTAGAAATAAATAAACATGGTCACGAACTATAAAACGCATTAACTATTGATAAGGCAGCGTTAGAGATGCTAGGATCAACCAAATCAATTTTAAAATTCACATTTAGAGTGAATTTTATGCCTCTGCTTTTATTTCATTTCAATGCGTATTAATTCGTTTCGTATAAAGTTGTTTTATTGATTTCTAAAGGGTTTCATCGTACTAATTAACTCAATGTTATTTTTCATTTAAGTGATGACTGCTTGGTCGATACGTTCTGTAATTAATCATCATTGAAATCAATCGATACGTAATCGAATTAACATGAATGTAAATTAATCTCCTTTGGTATCTCAGTAAATCTTACAAAATGTCTTTTGCAGTAGCTGTAGTTAGAAGAGAGGAAAGTTGTTGTATACACTACGGTTGTCTTCAGAGTTATCGCCGTTATTTCGCAAACGTATCAGTTGGTGAAGTCCCTTTGTACGTATATGGTGGACATACAATTTTATATTACAAGTGATTACCAAGTATTGAAAGCAGTGCATCCATCAAACAATGGACTTTCAGTAATCTGTTGTAATATCTTAGTGATAAAGTTTGGGACTAAATGTTTGAAATATCGCAACTTAAAACACACAAGCTAAAGGTGCACCACACAAACACTTCCTATCTGGCTATCCATACTTTGAAAGCCTACCCAGAAATACCGTTTGTTTGTTGATTATGACACAAAATATAGGATATTATGGAAAAGTCACAACTCCACAAAATTAGTTTAGATGTAAAATTTAACTGTAGATACTTTAAGTTTGATAAAACGGAGTGAGATGAATCAATTTATCTTGGAGGTAGTCTTCTTCAACAACAGAAATAGACTACACAGCAATGATCTGGAGTATTAGAAAACGGATTCTGCATATCTGGGAGTAAAATGAATGAAAGCATTTGTGGATAAGACATGATAACTACCTGCTAGCATAAGCGGATAAAAAATAAACCTACATGGAAAACCTGGTCCCTTAAGAATAGTAATGATATATCCGTCCAAACTTATGATCCTTTTTTGAAGTTCATATTCTGCGTTATTACCGGTTTAGATATGACAGTGAGAGGTGGTACAAGGAGTCTTAGGATTGAGTTTACTCAGTCAGATATGAGAATGATATGCAAAAATGCGAAATATTTTGCTAACAATGGAGATTATTCGTTTAAAGACAAGGTTTAACAACCTGATTGGAACTCATATCATCGTCAGTTTAACGACAAGGTGGGATTTCGAGTGAACCTAAAGTAGTACTACTGCACTAGTGAACTCAAAAAGTTCGGAAGAATAAACGCTCGTAACTTGTTAGTGCAGTGACAAATTCCAAGTCTTACCAAATAGTAAGAATTGAACCCACATATATACAGTATTATGACTACCGCCTATACGCAGGGACTATATTGCAAGAAATGTGACTTCAAATGACAGACTCCAGCTTGAGATGTTCACTCAGTATCCATTAACATCTATACGAAGTTGGAATTATCCAAATAAATAATTCTGCACCAATTTTCGTTCTTACTTTCCTGAAGATAATAAAGGTAACTATGTGTATCAAATAACTTCCAATAGTCTCTTGTCATTCTCCTATTATAAATAATTCTAAATCGCAGAAAACGACCTGAACAAAATGTAAACATTGAATTCTAGTAGAGAAATACTACGATTTATGAGCGAATCTATCAGGTTGACCGAACATGTTTCGTACTTACAAGAACAAACAGTCAGTATCTACTATTCAGTATTCGGTTGCTGGTTAGATGTTTCGGAAGCCACTGACAGCATAAGAGTTCCCGAAGGTTCGTCGTTGAGTAATTCAACATTGTCAACTGACCAACGTCAAATGCATCAAGCACAATGCATTTTTGAGCTGACAAGGCGAATACCATTCGTAACAGAATCAGCAATTTACGACTGTATGAACATCAACCGCACATCATCCCTTCATCGAAATCAATAGTTACAAACACACGTTGACTTGTTACAATCGATCTGGCTGAAGTTACATTGAGTAACTTAAGACGCGAAAATCATTGTTTTGCTTCACAAAAAAAAGTCATAGCTAGGATACTCTCACCGTTAGATGCCTAGTGCATTTGACTTTTAAAAACTTAGCTAAATCATGAACTCAATCAGGGACCGAATACAGTTGCGTGAAACCGAATACTAATTAATATTCGGTTCAATAGTAAACAAGAAAATAGGTGACAGTAAAAAAATTGTGGTGAGAACTTACGAGTCATAGCGGAAAGAGATAAACGACTTCTTTGAAGTCAACTTATTAACGAGTAAAGTAATCTCACTCTAAAAAGAAATTAAAAACATGCTGACACATACCTTGCAGTTACTTTCACTATCAACCGGTGGTGGACAATAATTGATCGGTGATATCCCTGGTAAATACCATGCCGTCACCAGGGACAAGTGGATTGTTAATAACCAGCCTAAGACACAATTCCTCACCATCATACGCGTCACAAACAACCAAACGGCCCACTCAAATTAAGATGAAAAAAGCTGTCCAATGTTCAAAGTTCAAATGGTTCAAATGGTTATGGACGGAATAGAAGAAGCTTTCGCTTAACAGGCTTCCGTGTCTAGTAGCAGAGGATCACCAAATCCTCTAGGCAGGAACCTAGGTATGTTAACAATAAAAGAGGAAAAGAAATTGGTAAATCATAGTGTGATACTGACCTTGGTCCTTAAGAATAGGTCAAGTTGCCTCTTGAAGGACGCCTGAGAAGTCGCTTGGACTAGCTCGGCTGGCAGCGAATTCCAGCTTTTGACAACTCTTAAGGAGTTGAAGTTGTGTCTACATTCCGTCTTGCTATGTTGAATTTCCAGTTTCTGGGTGTTACCCCTTAGGTTATTATTCGAACTAAGCTTAAGTAGGTGTTTGAGGGGATGTCCAAAAGTTTTAAGAATACTATAAGCCATTAAAAAATCACCTCTAAGACGCCTATACTCTAATGGGTAAAGGTCTAGTGAATGGAGGCGTTCTTCGTAAGGCTTAGATTTGAGTCCTCGAACTGATTTCGTGGCTCGCCGTTGGATTCGCTCCAAAGTAACCTTGTCCTTTTGGAGTGGTGGGGAGTACTATGTTTCCGTACTCTAAATGGGGACGGATAAAACTACTGAAGATTGTATGGAAAGTTTTCTCGTCAAACTGGCCAAAAATGTGCTTCAACGTTATCAGTGCAAGGTTTGCTCGCAAGGCATTTTTGTCACAGTTAGCGTAAGACTTTGAATCATGGAGCACCAGGACTCCTAAATCTTTTTCGACTTGGGATACTACTAAAGAGGAGTTTCTTATGTTATAACTGTAGTTTGCGACATGTCGCAGATGGACTACTTAACACTTTGAAGTGTTAAACGTAAGTCCGTTATCGTCTGCCCAACTTTGAAGTCGAGTCAGATCCTCCTGAAGTGCCTGTGTATCGTCTTGGTTGCGTATCTCTCTCCAAAGTTTCACGTCGTCTGCGAAAAGTAATAAGTCTGACGTTACCCGTTGAGGAAGATCATTTATGTAGATCAAGAGAAGAGAAGAGGCCCTAATACTGAGCCCTGGGGGACCCCACTAGGACATTCCATAGCCTGAGATAAAGTGAAATTAACCCTAACCTTAAAGTGTCGATTTTCTGGGTATGAAGTAAGCCAATCGAGAAGAGGTGGTTTGATACCCAGTCGTTTGAGCTTATTGATAAGACACAAGTGGTTAACTTTATCAAAAGCTTTTGGGTTGCCAACGTTTTTGATCAGATATTTCAAATTCCATATTCGTCATACAAAAGTTAGGAAATAATGGATTCTTGGGGTCTACTTTAGAATTGTACCGACTTTTCACTTCTCCGAAGTGAAAATACATCGGCGCTTTTTAAAAATGATGGTGACTTAAATTGTTCAAATGTGCAGGAAATATTGGGAGAAGCTTTCTCACAACTGGCATCAGCAACTAGCCGCAGTGGAACAAAGAGGCCTTCTTTTAAGAACCCAGTAATAATGAGCGGCGAAAACAGTTATATTGGGATATTATGGTGAAATACAGTCTAGAGATCTCTAGAATATGTCAAATTCCCTTCTGAAGGAGTTCCGGGCAGTTATCTCAACCACCTCAGCCGGCGGCAGATTACCGGACTTGAATCTGCTCAAAAGGCAGGTTTGCTTATAGTACAACTTGCTACGTGTTGCCTACAAGATTTGCCTTAGGACTGATTATACGTATGTATTTTAAGGGGTGTCCAGAATTATTTAAGATGTTTAAGCCCTTAAAATTTCGTAAATGAGCCCCTACACTCTAATGATAAGAGATTAAGTTATTTGAGGAGCTCTTCCTAAATTTTTAATAGTTTTGTGGCTCTCAATTTGATACGTTCCAGTATATTCTTATTCTTTCGGAGTGAGGAGGAAGCGCTGTATTTCCATGCTGTAAATGGGTTTGAATAAAATTATTGAAGAATAAGTAGAAGATTCTAAAGTCAAAGTGTCCGTAGTGACGCTTCAACGTCATCAGTCTAAGGTGTGCCCGAACGGCGTTTTTGTCGTAGTTTGTGTAAGATCATAGGACCCTAAAACACATAAATACTCTTTGATCTGAGATATTTCTGAAGGGGAGTTACGTAAATTAAGTTTTTAGTTTGCGAAATGTCTCAGATAGTCTACTTTATTCCCTGAAGTGTTGAATTTAAGTTCACTGTTATCCACCCAACTTCGAATTCCAGTCAGATCCCCCTTAAGTGCTAGCTTACCATCTTGACTGAAAACTGCTTTTTAAAGTTTCATATCATCAGCAAGAAATAAAAATGAATAATGCTTGCTGAGGAAGGTCGTTTATATAAACAAGAAGGCAAAGAGGTCGTAGAACTGCACCCCAAGGGACCAGACTAGTACATTCGATAGCCTGAGTAAAAGGGTAATTAAACCTTTTAAAGTCTATCAGCTGGATGTGAAGTGAACCAAACAACTAACAGAGAATGGTAGAATATCGTTGTATGTGCCATACTCGAATTCTGATCATGGTAGGAACACCTCAACGAAATCTCGAAAGAAGACTTTAGAGAAAGACGTTTCACACAAGTTACATACAAAAACACGGACTCCTGAAGTGCATTATACGATAGTCAAGAGATTTCGTACACCTATTTCCCTTTATTATTTTAAAGAGAGCAAGAACAAAGATTGGTGCAGAATAATATGAATTCGTTTTATTTCGTTAGGTTCTCATCATCTGCTTACAACTTAATATTTGAAAATCGACGTTATTACAGATATCGACATACTTATACATAAGCGAGTGATTAAGGATGAACATATGTATCATGATGTAGCGAAGATTCTGTTCCAGTTAATGAGGTCATAAATTTTTTGTTTCAAATAGATAAAATTTGGGAGGGAAGGTTTCAGCACATTGAAATAGTGATTAGAACTCATGGAATTAAAAGCACATTAGATTAGTATGTTGTAAAGACTTAGTTCTATCACGAGAACGCGATTGGTTTAATGAAAACAATTATTCTTATTATAGCCAATTGTACCTCTGCTTGTTTTAATGTGCTTTTGTTTAACTGTGCCAATGACAGACATTTTGTGCTTCTATTACTCTCCATGACTGTTTTGCGGTTCGTGACCTCCTCCGCACGTACTTTCTCCTGCCCACTCCGCTTGCACCTTTTCTTGGCACGAACTCGGTATCCGCTCGATACCACGAGATCGCCAACGAAATAAACTTATTTCTAATCCACATTCGCCTTCTGATTTATTTGGCACGTGTTTCTTTGCAGTGGTGTTCATAGTCAATATTGGCTCGACACCACACTACAATCTAATGAAGTGACAGAAAATAGATTAATGGTAATAAAGAGGGATATGAACTGAAATTGGTCAGCAGTTTAAAAATCCCCATAGAATATTCAAAAATGAAGAATATTTGAGCGAACAAGGAGTCACCAAATCGATTAACAGCACCATTCTTTCTCACTTGGTAGATAGTGAACATCATATTAAAATAGAGGAAGCTTTCTCTGTTTTATATCACGTTCCAAAATATCTACCTCAAGGAGCTAGATTACGACTGCTTTACACAGCCGAAGCCATCTGGATCAACTCCAGAAGACCTAATTTATGCATCCAGAAGAAATATATCCAGCTTCTGTGTTTACCCTGGCCTACGACTAGATCACCAAATACCTAGACTGAATATTATAAACCTCTTACCCCTTCCTTCATTTTTATTTATTTTCCTTATTATCATTATTTGTCATTATCTATATCTTAATCTTCATATCCATCATTCCCAATTTGTTGACCGTAATTACCTTGATAACACCCCCTTATTACGTATTATATTTACACAACAATATTATTATCTTAGTTGACAAAATTATTTTCAATTTTGCAATAGTACTATTACATTATCTTATTGTGACTGAACAGTTTACTGACCTTTATTGAATGACCTTTCTAATTTGCAAATATTACAATTTTTGAAGTATATATATATCGGAACAGATGCAAACGTTTACCATTTTTAACACATAACATTGTCAAACTCATTAAAACATGCCTTATTTTTGGCCTTTGTAAAATATTATAATTATGGACTTATAACTGTAGAGCCTGATGATGAAGTTATTGAAAACAATTGTTCGCTCAAATATTCTTCATTTTTGAAATTGGTCAGTTATAAATGTTGTATTTATGAAATTCAGAAAGATTTGGAATAGTGAACGACGTAATAAATAAATAAAAGAGGGGTAGATGAAGTTTTGAATGTTAAAAAGTGTTTATGGAATAACGGATACCCAATGAAATTTATTGAGAAACGTATAAAACGTGGAAAAAAAGTACCCAAGAAATCTACAGCAAATAAAAAATCTATTTTTATTCAACTCAATTTCAAAGGTGATAATGTCACAGGGTCAATCAATACGAGACTAAGTAGCGCACTGACACGAACTTATCTTGCAGCTCAACTGATTGTCCTGTCCAAAACAACATGTTCTTTGACATAATCAAAGGTCGACAGGTATCTCTTTCATGTTATCACCAACTGTGTATACAAATTTACATGTATCTGCCAAAGCAGTTACATTGGTGGGTCAGAAAAGAAAGCCTACGTCCGATTCAAAGAACATATTCCGAAGGGTTTAAGATCAAACGGACTAAAAGCATTCAGCAGTGCTATCGCAAGACATCTCCTTGACACAGGACAGGAAGTCTATGCACTGAAGTCCTTCAAGGTGACTAACAAATAATCAAACTCCAACCTTTTGAAATTTGCTAAAGCGATAGCAATCAAGCGTCTAAAACCAGATCAATGTTTACAAAAAGAGATAGTTATAAATCTTTCTTTGCCCTGGTAATATTGAACCCTCTTTTTTATTTGTATTTTTTATTACATCATTCATTATTTCAACTCCTTCTGAAATTTAAATTACGTCATTTATAATTAACCAATTTCAGTTCATATCTCT